TGTCGGCCAGTGCAGACATGCCCAAATTCTCCTGATGCACTACTGGAGGGTACTCAGATATTACAGAGATGAGGGCAGTCTGGGAACCTGTTTAGACCAGAATATGGGTTTCAGTGGCAGTTTTCTGGCTGATTAATTGGGTGACTTTGTGCAGGTCTCAACTTGCCGTTGCCCTATCCAATAAATGGGAATAGCAGCATTTGTCTTCCTTTGTAAAACACTTTGAGGTCTACGGATAATCCTCCTCCTTTTTCCCACCCATCATTATGGGACCAAGTGGAATCTTACGACACATTGAGTTTCTGTGGTCTGGCGTTTGCCAAGCATTTGAGAATGACTCTTTGGCTTGAGTTTGCAACGTCTGTGACTGCCACGTGATTTGTCATGGCAGCTCCTCGTTGAAATCAGGTCACCATTCCACTGGGAATGCAGGAGATGAGGAGAGAAGCTGCAGTGAGGAGTGTACAGACCCTGGGGCAGCCTGCGAGCAGTCGCCACACACATCATAACCCATCAATAACCTACCACACTCTGCGGTTCAGAGGTCTGCAGATATTTAGGAGTGGAAAACTATAAACAAGATTCTTCTGGACCACCACGCTCTTTCTGGTGCCCTGGAAAGCAGTAGGCAGTGCTAGGGAAAGACATGGTCACTGGGCATTCAGAGGTGTTCCCACAACACAATGCACACCAGTTTGAATTCGAGGACCTTGTGCTGCTGTGGACAACTGATAGTTTAGGACACAGCCTCTTCTTTCCCTGGATTGTCTTGAGAATCATAGAATCATGGAATGGTTTGGGCTGGAAGGGACCTTAGAGATCATCTAGTTCCAACCTGCCCTGCCATGGGCAGGGATGCCACCCGCTAGGTCGGGTTGCTCAGGGCCCCATCCAACCTGGCATTGGCCAGGGATGTTTTCTCCTCCTAAGTCCATTCTGAGATTCATCCCTAGCAGGTACCAAAGGGATGTTACTGAGGTTGTGCTCTTTCTTACAATGACCTGAAAGAAAACCTAAATCACTGCAAGTAAACCTTTAGAAGTGACTTGGGAACTGAATAAGGGAGTGAATAGTTAAGAAATCAGGTCACTGATGCACAGAGATCTTCCCAAAGAACATTGCAAGGCTGTAGGAGCCTTGAAGAGCCAGGAAATTAGCAGAGATCGGTATCAGGCAGCAATGAGCTTACAGGAGAGAGGTTTGAAGAGAGACTTGATCGCAATCTCCCAAGTACTCACAAGAGGAAGAGAAATGTGGA